GCAAATGGTCAGGGTATATGTGCACTTAAGACTGTTATATAACCCAGCTAAAGTATTTTATATATCTACTAACAGCTTAAGAAAGCATACTTCTCTGTGCCTTCAGCAATTCTAGGTATTGAAAACTTTTATAATCCTGGAATCACAAGCAAAAAAAAAATTACTCTATTTTCCCATAGTAGTTTTATGATTTTTGTTTTGTTTTGTTTTGTTTTCCAGTACCAGGAATCGAACTCATGACCTTGCGCTTGCCAGGCAGGCGCTGTGCCGCTTAGCTAAATCCCCAGACCGTTTTATGACTTTTTTTTTTCTTTTTTGTTTTTTTCGGTTTTTCTCCGGTACCGGGAACCGAACTCACGACCTTGCGCTTGCCAGGCAGGCGCTTTGTATTTTTATGACTTTTTAAAATGTTGACATCTTTAACCCACCTAGAATATATCCTGGCAACAAAAGTGAAGGAAGTACTCAGTTTTACTATTTGCCAGATAAACAACATGTTGTCCCAAATGCTTTCACTGAGTAACTCCCAATGTTGAAATGTTCAGTATACTAAATTTCCGTATTCACATGGCTCAATTTCAACATTCACCATTTTGTTCTCTCTCCATACTAATATCCAAGCACTTTAAATACGGTAGCTTCACAAAATACTCCAATATCTCATAGGATCTTATCCTCAGTCTTGCTGTTTTATGATTTCCCTTGGAGATAAGTACTTGAAAAACCCTCTACCCGCAACTACCATGTTTGTCCCTGGGTAACAAATTCTCAGGGAATTTCCAAGGGAAGTAAGGGACAGACACTAATCTGGAAGGCAGGCCCCTCTGGATATCCAGCAAATTGTCCCAGGTTCTGTGGCTCCTGGAGAACCCTCATCTGGATCATCCACGCTATGCACAGCGATGAATGACCCACAACCTCCTGACACTGACTATGTGCAGCGTAGACCCTCCTCTCCTGGTCCTTGATAAGCCTTCTTTTCCAAGGAGCAGGAAAGCAACTCAGTAACTGCCTCTGTCCAAAGGCAGATACTGTTGCTGCTGGTTAAAATAAAAGCCACCTTACCAGACCATGTACACTGCCTACCTAAACGGCCAGACCAGAGTTCTCCTCCTCCCTCCTTCATGCCACCTGCATGGGCACCCATAACTTGGCCACCAGTACTGCAAGGCCCTCCCTCCTTTCCTTTGTGTGAAGAGCCCAAACACAGTGAACAAGACTCATTTTCTAAAGTAAAAACAGAATACTGTTTGGGATTCTCAGTATTTCAGAATACACTTGGGATTCTCCCAAGCATTTATCTTGCCTACCTAGAAAAAGATGCCATGCAGGCCTCAGAGATACAACAGACCATCAACCCAAGTCTCCTGGTCCTGCCTAGAAGGACAGCAGTCAGCAGAGAAGACTGAAATCCTGAAGGGATTTTCAGCTAGGCTGCATGGAGAAGGTAGCTGTGTAGGGGCCAGGAAGATGGTGGAAGATGATGGGGAGTCAGGTGGATGACTAGGCCATGCACCCCGGTAAGAACACAGCTACAGGAAGCCCAGGCCATAGCTGGGAGTGCGAGAACAGTTTGTCCTAACCCTCTGTGACCCTGAACAGAAGTACCCAGGCTAGGCCAGGATATCCAGGGATTTCCACATCTGAATAAAGGCTGTACTTTGGTTTCTTCTATCAGTTTGCTTGCTCTGCTATCTGGGTTGTATAGGCTTCCTAAAAATAGCTTCTCACACATTTCCAGCTGTTTTATATACAAGATCTCTGTGGCTTAAAATCTCTCACACATAAAATCATATGGACCCAGAGCCTTTAAAAAAATATTCAATAAAATCCCAACAATTTCTGTTTCTCTGAAGTCTTTCCAGATGTTTGCTTATTGCTGTTTTTCCTATAATAACTGGCTGTATTTCCTACGTGCTTCTACTTCTGTCCTACTTTTCAGGAAGGTACCTTTTGCTTTCACAATTACAAAACTAAAAGGAGCTGAGATTCTTATCTAAGCATCCCTGAAGTAGACACATACTACACACTGGTCAGCTGTACCCCCAAACTCAGGCAATCTTGGCTTCAGGGAGCTTCCATACAGATCTCATTCCATCCTTGTGCAGAACTGGTCTTTCTTCATTCCAAATGGGTGGGGGGCACTGTCACCTGTTCCTCCCTTCTCTTCAGCTCTCAGTTGTTCTCAAGGCTGTTCCCCACTTGCTCAGCCTCCCACCCTTTACCACGCAAATCCTTCTACCAGACCCTTCAAAGTCCCCACTAGGACCCACACCTGTGACACACTGGCCTGGGATGCTTGAGGTTGGGCCTCTATCCTGACAGAATGGGTACAGAACTCTGTCCCAGGAAACAAGGCTCTTCTTGTTGGCAACCACCACATGCTCACTCAGTTGCTGATCCAACATCCCTTTAATAAGCACCAGCTGTGCACCCAGGACACAAAGCTAGGACAGAGGCTCTGTCCCTGAGGTGCACATCTACCAGATGTAAGTCATTTATATCACTGGGGTTGAGTCATCAGCAAGACTACACTGAGGAAGGCAAGGACTGCTAAAGAGAAGGAGGGTAGGGGGAAGTATGGTATTTTAAGATGAGGTGTGAGGAGAATGCTACTATATAGAAAAGAGAATGCCTACAGTTCAGCCCAGCAAGGGGTTTGGATTCCTCCTTCCTGCACCTAAACCTCCCAGCTGGTCAGAGTCTCTACAAACCCAAAGGGAAGCATAGTTGTTAGTCAAGATCCCATCCTACTTATTCAGAAGCATGAAAGTGCTGCTTCTGTTCACCAGATATGGAATCAATCAGTGTCCAGTGATAAGTGAATGAAGAAAAGTACATAGTGGAGTGTTATTCAACCATTAAAAAAAATGAAATATGGCTTCGTATAGTGGTGCACACCTATAATCCCAGCACTTGCAGGAGGAACACCAAGAGTTTGAGGCCAGCCTGGGCTACATAGTGAGTTCAAGGCCAGCCTAAGCTACATAGACACACCCTGGATCAAAAGGAAGAAAGAGGGGAGGAGAGGGCACAGAAGCAAAGGGAAGGGGAGAAGAAATATGGTAAAATGGATGAATGGAAACAGAAAACATTATACTAAGTGAAATAAGTCAGACATATAAAGACAAATACCACATGTTCCTACTCACATGTGGAAGCTACAAGAGTTGATCTTATAGCAGTAGAGAGAATAATAATTAACAATGGTCACTATAAGTTAGGAAGAGAGGGATGAAAAAGGGATGCAGAGGTTAGATAATAGGTACCAAAATATAGTTGGATAAAAGGAGTAAGATCCAGGACTCTACAGCACAGTAGTGACTATAGTTTACAACAATGTACAGTATCATATTTTATATAAAGAATAACGGCGTTTAAAGGTTCCTAACACAAGTGATGAATGCTTAAGGAGATGGAAATGCCAATCATTCTGATTTGATATTACATGGTATACACTGTATGCAATGAATGATCACAATGTACCTCATAAATGTAACATTAAAAGTGATATTAAAAAAAAACTGGTTTTCTCCATGTAGCCTTGGATACATTCCAACTTGAAGGTCACAGGTTAAAGGAACAGGATGTTGGGGGCGGCGGGGAACAGAAGCACAGATAATGTGTAGAATCATGTCCAAACAGGACAAGTATGGCAGACCCAATCCGGTCCCAAACAATGTTGAGAAATGCCAAGGGTGGTGTTTGGGTGGGTGGGTAGGTGGGGACAGGCAGTGACAAGGTTAGTATAAATATCTAATGAGGGCTGACCTACAGAACTACTCAACTAGTGGCAAGACAGCATATCCAGAAAAAGAGAGGAAGGGGCTGGGGATTTAGCTCAGCGGCAAAAGCGCCTGCCTGGCAAGCGCAAGGTCGTGAGTTCGGTTCCTGGTACCAGAGAAAAACCAAAAAAAAAAAAAAACAGAAAAAGAGAGGAAAAAAACAAAAAGCACATCCAGGAGAGAGGTGAGGATGCGGGCACAGGGTTGTGAAGTGGTATCCTGCCTATATCCTGCCAATGCTATAGGATGGAGTCTAAACACCTCCTCATCCAGTGACAGGGTGATCTGAGGACACCACTCTGTCCTGACCGGGACCGAAGGGCTCCACAGCTACACAGGCCACTTCATCACAAGGGGCAATGCTGCACTTGCCTGGGTCATGTTCAGAACTCAGGCATGTAGGACAGGGAACTTGACAAGATACGGTCTCCTGAGATCTCTGGGCAGCCTAACACCCCCTGTAGTGTACCGATGGATACCTCTTGCTCTCCCTCTGTCCAGAAACCTCCTATTTTCTAACTTCTGGCAGGGACTCATCAGATTTGGAAGGTGTAGGGACAGGTTTGCAGTTTGCCCCCTCTGGCTAGGAGGTTGCTGGCCCCACAGGACCAACATTAGGGATATAGGCAGAATCTGATAGGGCAGGGCACTCTGGGGATCCAGGGATGTTCTTCTTGGGCAACTGCTGCTAGGGGAGAGCATTTCCAGATGTAGAATTGGACCTGGACACTGCAGGGATGGCAGAACAGCTGGATCAGGCCTGAGAGTAGTGCCCAGGTTGAGTGCTAGGGCCTCTAACAAGTGCCTCACTAAAGGTGGCTATGAGGCCACCAGTCTAATGCTAGAGGTAAGAGACAGGGCATTGTGGTATGGTACTCAGCTAAACTGTTTGGGTCTTAAAACGCCTCCTAAATACCCTGGCACATCTTGTAATCCTCAGGCAGGGGCAGATCCCCACCAAAGTCGGGGGCTGCCTAGGCTCAGGCTCAGCCCATTCAGGTGTCCAAGGATCTCACAGACACAGATAAAGTTGTCCTGGCAGTGCTTGAAGTAAAAGGACATGAAATCTCCCAAACAGTCCAAAAAGTAATCTAGCGGGCACGGGGAGCCATCAAAGATGCCTGGGTTTCAGATGGGCACTCAGTCGAAGTCAATCCTGAAGAGGCCAGACATGTGCACAGTTTGGGAGGGGGATAGCTTTCTGTGGGCTTTTACCACTGGCAAAATCACTAGCTGTGCTCTTCTGCTCCACGGCTGTGCACACATACACAGGCAGCACACACAGTAAAACAGGACAGGGATCAGCTGGACAGGGCGTGGGAGACCCGGCCGTTCCAGGCAAGTGCTGAGGACCAGGGAGCTGACAGCTGCAGCCTCAGGAGAGCGGAGGAGAGCCGAAGGGACTGTCAGAGGCAGGCCATCATCCGAGGCAATCTGTCCAAAAACAAGGTGGAGAAGAGCAGGAACGAGGTCCAACCAGTGCCACCAGGCTGGCAGGAGGAGGTAATAAACAGGTAAACCCCTATACATGACTAGGAGCCCTGAGTAGAAAGCGGGGCCCAGGAGGCTGGCCTGAGAAGTCTGAGAAGGCAGGTAAATGCCATCTGTGACTTTCAAGTTAACTGTATGACAGATGCTGTCAATCCCAGGAGAAGAAAAACAGTCAGATCAGAAGGGTACAGGAATTTCAGGACAATGATAGTAGCAACCTTTAAGTAAGTGTTCTACTCATACCGAACATTATCATCCCCTCCCCATATGAGGTTGGTACCATTATTGTTGCTGAGGCAGGGTAGTGAAGTGACTTGTCCTGCGGCCACACACCAATTACTAAGTGACAGGGCAGGCAGCAGAATCTGGCTGTAGAGACCAGGAGCTTAACCACAACATCATGCAGGTTATAGACCATGCTTCACAGTCTGCTGAGTAGGCTCCTGGCCACCCCAAACACTGTAAACCACTAAGTACATAGAGCATGGCATAGGTTCTTACATGTCCCCAGACCAGTCACACCCTACAGAAACTGGGCACCTGCTATTATCTGCTCCCTCCTGCCTCAGCTCCCATGCTTTGCGCTAAGTGCCGCCTGCAGGCACGGTCATACCCAAACACACCTCCCTACATTCCCCATCCCAGTCAATCGCCTGGCACTCTAATCCCCAAATGTGAAATCCTGAAAATTCACTTGATGTGTTTACTCCCACCTGCCTAGCTACCTACGCCAAAGCTCTGAACCTGCCCCCTAGTAGTCACCAAGGAGGCCCAACCATTAGCAGCTACAGTTTCTTCCTGGAGAAAGGAGCCCTCCCCTAGGGCTTTCTTCTGCAGCCCTTTCCCAAAGTCTCTAGAGAGGGAGGTGCACTCATGACCTCCATGAAATATTTTGTGCTGCACCCCTGTACACATACCCCAGTCCTTCCACCAGCTTGCACCTCGGAGCCCAGGGCTCGTATACACCTTCATGCCTAGTTTCCTGCATGTTTACTAACCCCCACCAGTCAGTTACCCCAGGGAGGTATAGCTATGTTGGTCTGCCCAGTACCTCTCAGGTGGCCTGCAATACTTGAGGCTGCCAGGGCCACTGGCACTTACTTCTACCACCCAAGCACTGTGGAACACCTCAGGTACGTCTGCCACTTCTGCCTGAAAACATACCCATTGCCCCTGCCCTCCCATCCTAATGCCAGAAAACACTAGTGCCTGTGGCTGCAGTACCCATAGAACAGCATGTAAGTGGAGACCACTTGAGAGTCCAGTCCGGTCCACTACTGAGTTCTAAAAAGCAGTTTCCACAATTCAGGCCCCAGTGCCCACCAACGGCCCAAAGGCTGATGTCAGGCTGCCCACAAAAGCCAGTTCCTATGCTGAAGAGCCAGGGTGCTACACATGACGTCTGACCTCCCTCCTTCCCAGTCTTCACCTCCTACTCAGACTGGGAACCTTAGCTGTTACCCTGTCTGTCTGCCCCTTGCAGCCTCAGGCAAACTCTCCCCTACACCAGCCAACAGTGCTCTGGCCTAAGCCTTCTTAATCCTAAACCTTCCTAATCCTGGGCCAGACCCTCACCATTCTGGGAACCCTAGCCATCCCATGTCTCCCACGATTTATCAGTCTGTTGACCTCTCCCCTTGTCCTCCCCACCACATCCGGCACTGGGAAATTTTGGTGCTTCTCCTGGACTGGACAGCGTTCCATTATGGACAGCGTTCCACTAAAAGATCAAGGTCCTTGCGGAATTTGTTTCTTTGCCTCAGCAAAGCCAAAGGCAGCTCATGGAACGCTGAAGCGTTCTCTGCTTCGAGGAGACCCAGAAGCCCCAGGAATAGAACTTGCCCAAAGCTTATGAGGGCAGAGGACTGCACCGCCCCCTGTCCCCCAGCAATCGCACGCGGAGGATACGGCCTCACAAGCCCCAGAGCACTAAAGCCCGCTTACCTGCAAACAGGCGAGGAAGGACCCAGGATCCGCAGTTGGGGACAGGTCGGCGTGGCTTGACCGGGAGAGCTGAAGTCCAGGCGTTACCTAGAAAGTGGAGAACGAGACGGGCCTGAGCGAGGGCAGGCGGGGAGCCGGGGCGACGTTCCAAAGCGGCGGAAAATCAGCCCAAAAGTCTCCTCCGCCCCTCCACACAACAGACCAAGAAATAGAGGCCCGCAGGCAGGTCGCTGGGAGCCTGACCGAGGGCTCAGAGCGCCCCTCCGCCGGCGGGAGGTCGGGAGAGGACGGAGAAGGCGCATCTCCGGGCCGCGCAACACAAGCTCCTCCCGCCGACTGCCCGGCCTCGCGCGGGTACACTGACCATCCGACGTCGCCGACCGCAGTTCCCAGCAGTTAGTCGCTCAAGACCCAACCACGTCGCGCAGCCACTCCCCCAGCGCGCGCGGCCGCTCTATGCGCCCCCGCGCAAACTCCCGGCACGACCCACGCCGGCTTCCTCGCCGGGTCTCGGGCTCGCGCTCTGCCCGCCGCGCCTGCGCCTTGCGCCGTGTGCCGTGGGGCCTCAGCTGCGCAGGCGCCGCTAGGCTCTGTGTGCGCGGCGCGCGGGGTGATGGGAGCGTTCGCCCTGTACCCGGGCGTTCCAGGTTCGGCGCTCCAAGTTCCGCTAGAGCCCTTGGCCCCCTACCATCCTCTAGCTTTAATTCGTTTGGACCCGCTGTGTCCTGCAGCAGCGGAGCCCATGGGGCTGGGAAGTGCTTTCTTAACCCGCGGTAGTGCGTTGGAGTCAGTTGAACACTGGAGGAGCCCCTGGGCGGTGCAGCAGGGTGGCTGGGGGCGTAGGATAAGCCTGTGGGCTGGGGGCTTTGGGAGGTTTGGGCACAGGGGGCAGCTAAGCCCATGGGCCTTGTGAGCGCTCCGCGGGCGTGGCTGACCACAAAGTGCGTCCCACCACCCAGTGCCCGTGCTGGAAACCTAATTAGGACCTGAGTGTGCATACCTCCAGTCCAGACAGGAGAGCCAGGACAGGCTGGCAGCAGGGACCCTCCACTCACCTGCCTAGGGGCTGCCGGCAGGGCCTATGGGCTTTCTCTCCTGGATGGACCCCTGAGGGCAGGCTGTCAGGGCTCGGCAGCCAGCCACTTTGGAAACAGGAAAGGAGGAGGTTGTGTGCTCCTTAGGTGCACATTCAGAAGCCACTCTACACTACCTCCCTGCAGCTTCGTGATGCCTAGATGAGGCGGAAGGGGGTACCAGGACCTAGTGTCAATGGATGGACCAAGGACCTGGATGCAAGCCAGGGCTCCCTGGGTCAGGGGCAGCCGGATTTGCTGGAAAAAGATGCTTCTAAAGGCGAACACACACGTAATACACCAACTCCCTTTCTGCCCTGGTCTAGTGACTCCTTTCATGAAAGATCTCTGAAATGTTATCTGCATTTACACCCAAACTCACTTGCTTTGATCCTTGAAACGCGAATCAAAGATCACATTGTACCTTGCCTGGGTGTATGGGGCTTTCAGTCGCCTGGGCCAAAAATAATAAAAATGGCACCCAGCCAGGAAACGCCTCCTTGAAGTGTGAATGAAACCTGGATTTTTCGGTTGTATCTTTCCTAATTGACCTGATAATTTAAACTTCCTCCCTCAGGGGAGAGGGGGAGTTCCTGTGAATTCAGCTTACCTCAGGCTCGAGGCAGCTCAGGCCAATTTCGGGCGAGTCAGCAGAAAGTTGGTGGCAGGCTTGCCAAAAAGACTAATCCAACTGGACCCACAAACTGCTGCGGGGGGGGAGGGCAAATTGCTTTTTTGTTGTTTCAGGCCAGCTTCTATATATTTTTTATTGTAGTAAAATATATAACACATAATATTTACTGCTTTAGCTATTGTTATGTGTACAATCATCACCGTTATTCCCAGAACTTTTCATCACCCCAGAAACTCTGCGTCCACTAAGCATTCTGGTTCCTTCCCACCCTCAAGTCCTAGCACCCACCAGTGTACTTTCTGTCCTTATAAATTTGATATCTAAGTAGACACAATCAATATTTGTCCTTCTGTGACTGTTATATTTCACTTAGCATCATGTTTTCAAGGTTCATCCATGTTATAGCATGTGTCAGGATTTCTTTTTATATACCACATTTGTGTATATCTCACATTTTTCCTCTTTATCTCTCCATGGATACTAGGTTTGTTTCCACCTTTTGATCACTGTGAATAAGGCTACTGTGAACTTTGTACAAATATGTTTGATTCCTTAATTTCAATTCTTTAAGGTACATGCCTAAATTAGGGAGGTTGCTGAATCATATAGTAATTCTGTTTTGCTTTTTGAGGAGTTGTCAAACTGTTCTCCATAGGAGCTGCATCATTTTACATTCCCAGGGCTGGGGATATAGCTCAGCGGCACAGTGCCTGCCTAGCAAGCATGAGGTCATGAGTCTGATTCCCAGTACCAAGAAAAAAACAAACAAAAACACACATTCCCACCAGCAATGCACAAGGGTTCCCAATTTCTCTGTACCCTCCCAACATTTGTTTTTTTTCTGAGTTTTAAAAGAATAGCCATCCTAATGGTATCTCAATGTAGTTTTGATTTGCATTTCCCAAATGACTAGTGATATTGAGTATCTTTTCTTATTAGCCGTTTGTGTGTCTTCACTGGAAAAATGTCTAAGTCTTGTGTGTATTTTTAATTGGGCTTTTTGTTTGTTTTTGAGTTGTAAGAGCTTTCTAAATATTTTGGATATATATCCAGGTGTGTGCATGTACACGTACATAATTATATACATTATATAATTGTATATAACGTGCCAGTATTTCTCCCGTATCATGGGTTGCCTTTTATTCTGTTAATACTGTCCCTCGACACATAGAATATTAAATTTTTCATCAAGTCCAATTTGTGTATTTGTTGTTGCCTGTGACTCTGATGTCATATCCAAGAACTCACTGCCAAATCCAATATTATGAAGGTTTTGCCCTATGAATTTCTTCTAGAGTTTTATAGCTTTAGGTCATACTTATTTAAGTCTGTGATATATTTTGAGTTAATTTTTGTATATAGCGTTAGGTAAGGATCCAACTTTATTCTTTTGCATATAGATATTCAGTTTTCCCAGTACCATTTATTGAAAAGACTGTCCTTTCCCTGCCTTGGCACCCTTGTCAGAATTATTTGACAGTATATGTGGGGGTTTATTTCTGGGCTCTCTAGTCTATTCCTTTGGTTTCTATGTCTTCCCAAACAGTACCACAGTGTTTTGATTACTGTAGCTTTGTTCTAAATTTTGAAGTCACAGAGTATAAGCTCTCAAAGACTATTTGGGCTATTAGGAGTTTTTTGAGTTTCCATATGCGTGGGTTTTTCTATTTTTTCAAAAATACCACTGATATTTTAACAGAAACTGCACTGAATCTATAGATTTTTTAGGTTGTATGGACATTTTAACAATATTAGTTTTTCTACTCTATGATTACAGTATTCTTTTCCATTTATTTAGGTCTTCTTTTATTTCCTTCAACAATGCTTTGTAGTTTTCAGTGTACAAGTCTTTCACTGCCTTGGTTAATTCCTACTAACCAAGTATTTTTTATGCTATTTAAATGAAACCATTAGCAGGGCGCAGTGACACACAACTGTAATTCCATTCACTCAGGCTGAGGCAAGAGGATTGAAAGTTCGAGGACAACCTGGGCAACTTAACAAGATCCTATCTCAAAATAAAAAGGGTTGGGCATGCAGATCACAGTGCTAGACCCTCCTTATGCTTGGACTTATGTGGGAATCTTTCCCCAGTATCATTTCCTTCTGTGATTCACTGTTAGTACATAAAAATGTAACTGATTTCTGTGTGATTTTATTTCCTGCAACTTTGCTAAATTTATTTGCTGTAATAGTGCTTTTTGTTTTGGTGAGTTTTTTTGTCTTTTTGAGACAGGGTCTCGCTCTGCAATTCAGACTGGCCTTGAGCTCACTTGGTAGCACAGGCTGGTCTCGAACTTGCGTTGATCCTCCTGCCTCAGCCTCCTGAGTGCTGGGATTACAGGTGTGCACCACCACGCCCAGCTGTAACAGTGCTTTTGTGAAATCTTCATGGGTTTCTGCACATAAGATCATATCATCTGTGAACAGAGATCATTTTACTTCTTCCTTTCCCATCTGGATACCTGTTGTATCTTTGTCTTGTCCAGTTGCTCTGGCAAGACTTCCAGTTCTGTGTTGCAAATGATGTGGCAAAAGCAGGCATCCCTGTTTTGCTCCTGACCTTAGAGGAATAGCTGTTCAGTTTGCACTTTGGAATCAGCTGTTGACTGTGAGTTTTCCCTGTATGAGCTATCATAATGAGAAAATTAAATATTTTTGCCATGAAAAAGTATTGCATTTTTTCAGAAACTTTTTCTCAGTTTTGTTTTGTTTTTCCTCAGTACTAGGGACTTAACCTGGGGCATGATGAGCTACGGTACTTTTTTTTAAATTTTGAGATAAGATCTTACTAAGTTGCCCACGTTGGGCTTGTATTTGCAATCTTCCTGTCTCTGTCTCCCTAGTAGCTGGGACTACAGATTGTGCCACCATGCCCAGGCTTTTTCTGTGTTAACTGAGATGATCAGTTTTTTCTCCCATTTGCTCTATTAATGGAATGCATTGCATTAAGTTAGATAGATAGATAGATAGATAGATAGATAGATAGATAGACAGATGATAGATTGTTAAGTGATTTTAACTTCGTGGTGAGCTGGATCTTTAACAGAACCCAGTGCTGCTTTTTGACCCACACAATATGAAAGTTCACTTTACTGAGAGTCCACCAGCTGCCCAGCACATGATGACACATTCTTATTAAATATGCATGATGCAGATGCCCAGGGCTAGCCCAGGAAATGGTAAACTTGAGAGTTTCCTCCCTAACCCACAGCCTCTCCTTGGGAAATGCCCCCACCTGTGTGGACTTCTGGATGTGAGTGTATAAACTGGAAGGCCCAGTGCTGGTGGTCACACAGAGGACACTGGCTTAAGGACTTTGGCTCTCAGGTGTTAAGTGTTGATGTCCTCTGTGTAGCCCCCTAGAAACAGGAGGAAGCAAGAAACAAGGACATGTGGTCCAAGAAAGGTGACACCAGCTGCTCAAGGACTGTCAGCCCCTTAACTGCCTGTGTTCCCCGCCCTTGGATTTGCACGAGAGCCCTTCCCCAGAGCTAGCTGGTAGAGAGCAGAGACTAGAACCAGGAGTGGCGGGGCTCTGTTCAGCCAGCTACTTTGCTGCCCTCCCCACACAGTGTCCCTAAAAATGTGGAGTTGTATCTTCACTCCACTCCCAGCACTGGGGATTAAACTCAAGGCCTTCATACGGATGTGTATCTCTAGCCTTTTGTTTTTTCCTGATACAGGGTTTCACTAAGTCACCAAGTTGCCCAGACTCAAACTTGTGATCATTCTGCCTCAGGCTCTCAGAGTGCTGAGATTACAAGTGTGTATCACCATACCTGGCATGCTTCAGCCTTCAGAGATCAGTGTTGCCTTTGTGGGTTTCATTCTATGCATCATCATCATTATTGTTGTTGTTTTTATTATTGTTGTTGTTGCTACTACTCCTCTACAATGAAATATACAGATCCTAGTATAATAGTCCTCCTTTATCTGCAGTTTCACTTTCATGATTTCAGTTATCCACAGTCAACCATAGTCTAACAATATTAAATGAAAAAATTCCAGACACAAACAACTCATAAGTTTTAAATTCTGTCATTCTGAATAGCATGATGAAATCTTGCACCATCTTATTCCATCCCACCCAGGACATGAGCCATCCTTTTGTT